AATAATGAAGTACAATACTGGGAAAATGAAGAGACTCCATGTCAAAGTTTTGTGCACCAATTCAAGCAGACTTTCTGTACCCTGGCCCTAATTAACTAGTGGAATAATAAATTACTATTCTGACGATAATATATAGGAGAATTATAGACCAGTAAGCTGTGAATATATTGATAATATTTAACCGAGTATGTCGAGTTCATTTTGTATAACCCTTTGATATACCTAATAACCCAAGTAGTAGTGCTTCCATATTAGCAAGCTTGTTCTATGGCCCAACCCATGGTACCACCATCCCAGCCAACGTATAGCACTGTCTAGCCTACAATACCTACTAGAACTCAAGCTGTGTCGAACTCTGTGGATCAAATAATGGCTATGTTACAGAAGGTAGTGATTACAATGAAGAATAACAATAACAATAGCAATAATTATAGTTGACTCCACTCTCCCGCGAATGAAAACCGGCCCGAAAGGACCAATTGACCCCTCGTATGCTATTCCTGTCACCAACCAGGACACATCACCCGTGAATACCCAACTGCTAACTGTATAAATGGAGGAGGAAAAACCAACCAATCAAAACCAAAACAATGGTCCCGTTAATGATAATAGGCTGATGGAAGAGGTCCCCAGGACGCAGGCTATGTTAGTCCAATTATAGGACCCCATGGATCATTTAAACTGAGAAGCGTACCTGTAGAGGGTGAGAGTGCGTAACCGTCTTTAAACCTCTCGGTAAATATAATAAAGAAGGCTTATATGGCAAAAAGGAGGTATGGTAATGATGACGAACCTGTTGAGGAAGAAACCCTGCCCATAGTTGATCATAATAATGAGCATAATCAAGAAAGCACCCAAACAAATAATCAAACAAACAGCCAAGAGGACAAAAAAAAGGCTGTAAAAAGAAAAGTAACAAAACCTGTAGAACCTCCGTTGACAGCAAAGATCTAACCATACTCGATAATGGCGGATTTGCAAAATAAGAAGGCTGATATCACCTATGCACAACTTTTTCAGATGGCTCCAAATATGCGGAAAGAGGCGTTGAAGATTCTACATCCGGGTAGGGTGACTAAAGGAAAGCTTGCTGACTTTTGTCTGAATCGTAGTGACGAAGCATATACAATATCGATATATTGTGATGCTCAAGTGAATGGTCAACCGATCATTCTGATCTTGGATAGTGGATCGTTCGGCTGTTTTGTTTCTGCTGGGTTCTTAAAAGACTCTGGGATAAGATTGACCGACTATCGACAGTAATGATAATAGGAGTACAAGGTGAGCAAAAAAGGCCGCTAGAGAAATTGACGAATTCTCTGTGACTGTCAGTGGCAAAACCATAATGTCTCATGCTGTTGTAACTGACGCTGGAAATTATATGATAATCGTAGAAAATGATTGGATGAAAAAGGCAAGAGCCTGACTGGACTGGAAATCATGTGAGTTAATGATAAGGGATGGTGACAAAAAAATAAAAGTGCCAACTGAGTATTGTAAGCCGGCAAACATTGGAGATCGGATTCCTCGGAACCTTGAAAAAGGAAAGGCAAAGATAGAAGAGGAAGTCGAAAGTGCTAATGATGTCGATGATAGTAGTGATGACGACAAATTGATATTCAGTTAGGAAGAGAAGTATGAGGAAGAAGAAGGCTTGATAAGTCAAATGTACTTGTATTTTAAGTTCTACCCAATGCAAAAAGAGAACGAAGTCTTATGTAGATTATGTTTAAAAAAAGAGCACTACAAATCAGATTATTTGTGAAATGAGACTTCGAATCAAAAGGACTATCGGTATGTGGAGGAAAAACCGAAGGACGAGTATAACCTTGAAACATGACCCCTGAACAACAAGGTCGAATGATAGAAGTCCTGGGAAAATACGAGGACGTTTTTGCACGAGAACCCAATCAGCTAAGAAGGATGTCAGTCGTCCAACATGAAATACAAACAGAGGAAAGTCCTCTGGTAAAACAAAGGTTCTACCCTACCTCGAAGTTGGAGCATGAGTTCATAGGCCAAGAAATTAAGCGCATGGAAGAAGCTGGATTAATTCGTCCATTGTGTAGCCTGTGGGTGTCTTCCGTCATGCTGGTGAAGAAGAAAAATGGAAAAATAAGAATGTGCATAGACTTTCGGAAGCTTAACCAACAGACGAAACGTGACAGCTACCCTCTGCCAAG